CAAGCTCCTACATAATATTGGGTCAGAGAGGCCATAATTGGGAAAATTTGTGAGAGAAAGAGAAAAGTTGTTGTTAGGCATCCTAATTGGTTGTTATAACAAATAAGATGATTGCAAATGAGGCAAGGAATTGATGTTCCTTATTGTAAAGCATTATGGAACTTTTGGTGCACTTTTTATCCATCTGCAGCATAATTGTGAACTAGGCAAGGAATACTTTTCATGTTCTAACCAATATTAAGCTTGGGCCAGTTAGGGCCCAAATACAATGCCTTGATTGGGCTGATTTTGCATTGAAAGTAAGGTGAATGCTAGGTCCTAGGTCCAATCACAAGAAAATCATACAAACTCCCCTAATGATTATTAAAAAATTTCCCGACAGATTGAATAAATGCATGTATTATAATATAAGTGAATTAATAATAGCACGTGATTAACATCGTATATACTTACCTCTTTGGACTGATTGCAATAATCTAAAATTTATAGGGCTCGAAAAACTTTGGCAGCAAGTATACTTGGGTAAAAATGAAATTAATTAAAAGAAAATCTAAAATACCTAACATATTAAAGATTTTACGAAGTGTATGTTTGCACATTAGAGTAAAAATCCAGATCTCATTAGGTTTTTATTCTTTTTCCTTCTTAAATCTTTTGAACATATCTTAATGTAGTCCAACCTGCAATCAAGATCCAATATCTTCGATTATGATATGTGAACTGCAAAGGCCAATTCCTTCCCGTTGGTTAGATTTTGCGAAGCACAACAACAGAATTACTGTTCTGTCTTTCGCTTTTTGTGCCTCCCTGCTGAAGCAAATATGCGGCCCCCCACCCCTACCCCCTCCATAACAAGCCTCTCTTTTAGGCCATTACCACACGCTTTATTGGGCCACTTTATTCAATGATTTGTTTTACTAAGTCCAAACTTCTTCATTCAGTGCACTCAATTTATAAGCGACTATGAGATTAATTTGTAACTCAAGTGATTAAGACTCTCATTCATGTACCCGACAATCGATATATAAGTAGGTTGTAATTTAAGTGATTAAAAACATTCACTTATGCGCACATATATTATCGAACATCAACAAAAATGTCATTATTAAGTTGATAAGTGAATGATATGTCTAACCTTCGTGATCATCTAGAGGGTTAACCCTAGTGTCTCCTATCTTCACTTTCTGTTGATGCAATTTCCTTTCTAGGCATTTCCAACCTCTTTTAATTCCATTTTTTTCACCATCTTAATTAGCTGGAAAGAGTTATGGGTCACTATCAAGTAAAACCAAAAACCCAGATGAAAACTTTGCAAATTGAAATAGTCATTTGGCACCAAATGTGGTTGGGGGATCACTTGCCCCCACCATCCATACGTAACTTATCCCCTTACAGATATTCCACTTGTTTCCATTTCACATTGAGGAGACATCCTTATGAGACCTACGCTAGTGATGCATCATTTTCCTTATTCTTTTCTGTTTGTATGTTTGCTTTATTCCCAAAATTCTCTTCAGTGCCATGTTGACTAGGGCTTCCCTATAATTGTAGGCCTA